AGCAAAGAATTTGAGGCAGCAAGGACACAGTTAAGTTCTTTAGAGCACATTCATTTATTAAAGTGGCATTACAATCTGCTGTGTGTCACATATTATATTATTTTGCCTGAACAGCTTTACATGCAAATACTTATTGCCACGAGTCACTGATCTGGTTCAAGGTTTGGCAAAAAAAAAAAAAGTTTCAGTAAAGTCTTTAGAGGAACTCACTTTCTTATAGCATAAATTATATTCTCAAACAATATATATGACAAAACTTAGCTCCTATATACAGAAACCCTAGGGCTCTCAGTCCACCAAATACGCTGTCCTATGTTCACACATATGAATAGTCTAGGGCTGGTGTGAATGAGACTCCTCAGAGGAAGAAGGCATTTTAATGAATATTAAAAAATTCAACTCGGGCGCCTGGGTGGCTCAGTCGGTTAAGCGGCTGACTTAGGCTCAGGTCATGATCTCGCGGTCCGTGAGTTCGAGCCCCGCGTCGGCTCGAACAGCTCAGAGCCTGGAGCCTGTTTCGGATTCTGTGTCTCCCTCTCTCTGACCCTCCCCCGTTCATGCTCTGTCTCTCTCTGTCTCAAAAATAAATAAACGTTAAAAAAAAATTTTTTTTTTTTAATTCAACTCACATTTAATATATAACTTACGTGACACCGAAAAATGTAGAAAAGGCTGGTGACATTTTTATCAATATGTAGACTTGAAAAATTATTTCGTAACACATCTATCTGATAAACCTTTAAAAACTCTATTACTGAGTATTAACTAAAACCCCCAAATGAGACAAACTCAGAGAAGAACATAAACTTTGAGGCTTTCTCCTTTTATAAACATTTCTTATTTTTAAGAAAAATAAATTTTTGTTAATTGGCACAGTCATAGTCTAACTGCATTCTTAACCTAAGGGCAAGACCATTTCAAAACAGCATGTCAGATCTTAGTTCTTTTCTTGAGTTGGGTTGGAATAGATTAGGGAAATATTCTTACTCAGAGGGCCACATCCTGTACCACATCATGGTACAGACAGAAAAAGCAAGTATTTATGCAGAATGTGAAGATACAGGTGTTCCCCAGCTACTCGGAATCTAAGGAATCAATACCTCCAGGACACTTGTAACACACAGTTCAGGAAGCTATTATAAAGACTGAGGTGGGGCGCCTGGGTGGCTCAGTCGGTTAAGCGTCCGACTTCAGCTCAGGTCACCATCTCGCGGTCCGTGAGTTCGAGCCCCGCGTCGGGCTCTGGGCTGATGGCTCGGAGCCTGGAGCCTGCTTCCGATTCTGTGTCTCCCTCTCTCTCTGTCCCTCCCCCGTTCATGCTCTGTCTCTCTCTGTCTCAAAAATAAATAAACATTAAAAAAAAAAAAAATTAAAAAAAAAAAAAAAAGACTGAGGTGAAGATAGTATACCCCAGGGAAATATTCCCGGAAGTGTCCACTTACCCACAATCCTGGGGGAGCTGGGATGTGGGAAAGGCAGGAACAAGATTCAAACACACAGCACCATTGAGCTCAGTAACTTCAGTCACATCATTGAAATCATCTGATGGAGCTGACAATGCCAAGCACTGATATATTCTAGACTACGCAACAGAACTTTCTGCAGTGATGAAAATGCCCTGTATCTGCACTGTCCAACAAGATAGCCACTAGCTGCATGTGGTTACTGAGCACTGAAATGTGACTCACGCAACTGAGGAGCTGAAACATCAGTTTTATCTCATTTTCATTAATTTTAATTTAAATCTTCACAGCCACGTGTGACTAGGGGCTACCATTCAGAGTGTAGTTCTAGCCTGACCACCAAAACACAAGGTGGCATTCAAAGAGTTTTCAGTGCCCAGGCTGGCCATGGACCCGAGTTCATCAGTCATGTCAAACCCAGAAATGGGAAGGGACAGACGCCTCAGCACAGCCAGGGTGCATCACGATGTCAGGTCATGCTCTGCAGGTCAGACCATGAGCATTCACAGAAAGCCTCCCTACCCACATCCACTCTCTCAAAAGTACCAGTTCAAGAAACCAACCCAAGCAGGAAAACACTTTCTCTCCTCCAATGCACTACTGAATGAGAACTAATGTGGGGAAAAGCTAGAAGATGCAACAATCACTTACAGATAGAAGGTTCTTTCCTAAATTCAAGCAGCACATCACTAAAAGGGAGCTCTTTCCCTCCAACTAGTTTCTGTCACATCCTTTCTACAAATGAAGCCAGCTGCCATTCAAATTATAATAAAGAGGGTGGTTAACAGCATCTGCTCTGGACTCAAACAGACTTGAATTCAACTGTCACCTCCATTGCTTACCAGCTTTGGGACTCTGGGCAAGATAACTAATCATGTCAAGTCTCCATTTCCTTCTATATAAAACAGGTTAAAAACAGTCCCTCCCTCACAGGGTTATAAGGATTAAATGAGATAAGACATAGAAAGGATTTAGCACAGTATCAAGCATGCAAATGACATTTAAGGATTATTTATCACTATTCCATCATTACTTCATTGTCTTCATCATCGCCATTATCATCCTCTCTCCCTAACACTGTAGGAAGGAAAGAAATCTACCCAGAAAAAAATCATATTGTAGAACAAATTCCAATTTAAAAAATATCCACACATCGGGGCACCTGGGTGGCTCAGTCGGTTAAGCATCAGCTTTAGCTCAGGTCATGATCTCGTGGTTTGTGAGTCCCACATAGGACTCTCTGCTGTCAGCTTGGAGCCCACTTCGGATCCTCTGTCCCCATCCATCTCTGCCCTTCCCCTGCTGATTCTCTCGCTCTCTCAAAATAAATAAAGTTTAAAAAAAAAATCCACATATCAAAAGTTATTCTTAAGCCAAAATACTTGATACACTTAATTTTAGTATCTTTCTAGGTTTCTCTTATACTATGCTTCTATCTTTCTTATCATCTTCTTATATACTTAGTTGTTTCTGCCCAAAAACCCAAAACTTTTTGAAAGGAGAGGAGTTTTGTGTGTGTGTGTCCTCTCAAAACAACTAGCTTAATTATTTGCACAATAGTGGACAGTCAATAAAGTAAATGCCACCTGAATTAAATTTATAGAATTCTATTCCAAAACGGTCACGAGTAGCCACCTTCAAAATGGATAATGGGATCACCCTAAATTAATTCAACACTTAAGCACTAGGAACTATCCTAGAAGCTGGGAATTCAGTTGTGAAAAGACAAGGGACCATGTCCCTGGAGCTTACCTTCTGGAGGAGATGGCAATCACCGGACACAAGTAAAAGAAGGATGGTAGGAAATGATAAATGATGAGATGAAAACCAGAAAGGGTCCAGTCATGGTGTGCCTCGGAGGCCAAGGAAAGCAGTTCAATTTATATTCCGTGTACCATGGAGAGCCACCACTGGGATGTGACCTGGACTGATCAATTTTTTTTTGAGATCGCTAAGGCTTCTGTGTGCATGGCAAAGTGTAAAGGGACAAGAGAGGAAATAGGGAACCAGTTAAGAGGCTCTCAGACGGCAAGGTGAGAGGCACTGGTTGTCTAGGTCGGTGCTACAGCAGAAGAGACAGATGTGGAAGGGTCACATTCCCATGTGTTGCAGAGATGGATGGGACAAGACTGGCTAATGGCCCAAAGTAAGGAGTAAGGATAGCATGGGGCCCAGGTTTAGGGCTTGACCACCTGTGCCATTTACTGGGAAAGATGGAGAAAAGCAAGGCTGGGGAAGATCAAAGAGGCTTACTTTGGATATGTTACGTTGAAGATCTGTAAGCAGAGACTTCAAGTAGGCATTGTCTAAGTTTTGTTTCAAGGAGAGAAGTCAGAGCTAGTGATACAATTATGGGAGTCACGGGCACCTGTATTATGATTCAAAAGCCACTGAATTGGGGGAAATTACTTAGCGGAAATCAGCAAAGACAACTAGGCTGAAGAGGTGGGAAGAAAACCAGGAGTGTGTGTGGTCCAGAAGCCAAAGAAAGGGTTTCTGGCAAGGAGGGAGTGGTCACTTCCTAATGTTAATGAACTGTGAACCCCTCTTAATGCTCCCACTAAACAAGAAGATTCATTAACAGCAAGAACTATTACTTATTCATTATTTCTTACTCAACTATTTCTTACTCATCTCTTACCCTCTGCTTTAAAAAACGTTATCAGAAGCTCAATTCATGGTATAACTAATGATTGCTAAGAAGGTCAAGACTATGCCCAAGTGAATAGCATCTGGGCAGCATTTCATCTTTCTCAGTGTATCTCAGTCTGGAGGCAGATTTGCCACACGATACCCTTTCTAATAAATACAGAAACTACTTAGTCCAAGATTAACCATCTCGATTATTTTCCCATTGCCATTTTCCGAATAAACAGAGTGTCCATCCATCACACTTAGTAGCACAAGAACAGTACCATACACATAGCAGGTGCTCAATAAACTATCTGTTGGATGAAGAAACGGATGGGATGGGGAGAGCAAAGAAAAGAGAAAGAGTCTCTTATTCCACAGGATCCACAAATACATTGAGGCTTAATAATCATCTGTAGATTTCATTTAACATCTTGTTTTCATCAATAATTAAGACTGAGAAGAAATAAACTGTTTATAAACTTAGAAGAAGTCTACTGGAAAATGAAAGCATTAGGGATATTCACAATTTGGAAACAGTAAGTCGATATGTTCTAAGTTCAATATTTTATTATAAATGTTTATTCCTAAATCTCTAATATTCCTACAAGTAATCCATTTTATACAGATATTATGAAGTAACCTGCCAAAACTTAATAAAGGGTTCAGAAGCTGGCTGAGAAAAAAAAATTGTTCCCAAGACTGTTTTGCAAGTAGATTCATTCTCCTTTTAGTGCAAAATGTCTTAAAAGAAACCCTGGTACTGATTTCTAACATTGCATATAAAAAGCCGAACACCCAAATAACAATAGACACAGAGGAGTGTAGAAGAAGTTGACTACCAAGTAAACTTTTATCGCTTATAATTTTTCTACTAAAAATTCTAAAATTAAAATTCTGAAATACCTGAGGCACCATAAGCGCCAGAATACCGCTGAGACTTCGAACCAGATGGGGAGGTTTCCTTCATACGATCAATCACATTTTCTGAAAGCTGAAAAGGCAACATCAAAATAAAATCAATTATAAAAAAAAAAAGGAAAGAAAGAAAACAGTACAATAGCACCCAAGCAATTTAGTCATCCATATCAATATGTGTAACGAATGGCCTAAAGAAAGCTAATAGCTATAAAACTAAAAGCAAGGAAGAAAAGTTTTAAGATATCAAGATGCACCCTACAGCGCTACTTTATTTCTTCTAATGCACTGCTAATTGCGCAGTATAAATACCTCCTGTCCTCATTTTATTCAGTGCACTAAATTCATCTCTGAGAAAACGTAAGCCGAGAAAACGCCTTTGACTTTCCTCCCCTAATCCTACAAATTAATTTATGCAAGCAACAGGTCTTAGTTCCTTCCTTCCTTCCAGTCTCAAAGGAAATGGTGTCCCTCCATCCCTCCTGTTCAGGCTAATCACAAACAACTGCTCTTTCAACAGATTCTATTACGCAGCTATCCTGTGCCAGGAACCAGGCTAGACTTGGGGTATTCAACAGTCACCAAGTTGCATAAAGTGGGTTAGAGGAAACAATCATCAGGCATTTAAATATAACAGGAAGAGCACTGCCTATGTCAGCTGGCCTAGAATGGAAGTATATAGAAGGCATAATGGACAGGATATCTAGCCAGGCTTTGGGCATGGGGCCGGGACTGGGAAGGATAAGCAGGTGTTAGGAAGAGAAGGGGATAACAGTACTCCAAGAAGAGGGAAACGCATGGCGGTACAGACGAGAAACAGGGCTTGCCACCATCAGACGTTAAGTGCAGATAACAAGTAGACAGTTGGCAGTAAGGCAGAGGCTCTGAGGAACACTCAGGCCTGGAAGGTCTGAGAGTCATCAGTCCCTGAATTACTATTGTATCATTCTTTTTATTTTCTTTATTGCACTTACCACTATCTGATGCATTGTTTGCCTGCCTTTTACACTAGAAAGGAAGTTCCATGAAAGCTAGCATTTGGATGTCCTATCATATCCCCAGAGCCTCAATAAGCCTGGTTAATTGAGTGAATGGCTAAAGAAATGACTGAAACAATATGTGAATGAATGAAGAATGGCTGAAGCACGAAACTGGGGAGAGGGCACAGTGAGAGAAGGTGGACGGGGAAATAAGATTTTGGATTCTGAAGAGTCCTAGCAAACCCATGAAGTGAAACAGTTTGAACTTGATCCTGAGGGCAACTGGGCACATTCGAAGGGTTTTAAGCAGGGTAATGACAAGATCAGACTTACATTTTAGAAAGATCACTCTAGCCACTGCGTAGAGAACAGATTGGAGGGGGACAAGAACAGAAGCAGGAAGTCCCCTGAAGGAAGCTAAAGGACCAATTAAGAAGCTATTAAGCATATGTCCACACAAAGATTTGTGCAGGGATGTTCACAGCAGCATCAGTCATAATATAGCAAGAGCGGAACCACGCAAATGTCCGTCTGCAGGCAAACGGATAAACAAAACATTATGTATCCATACGATGGAATTCAATTCAGCAGTAAAAAGAAGTGAAGTTCTGCCACATGCTACAATATGGATAGATCAAAACAACAATTAAGGGAAGAAAGCCAGATACAAAAGGCCACATATTATATAATTTCATTTATATGAAATGCCCAGAAAAAGGCAACTCTGTGTAGATAGAAAGTCGAGAAATAGATGCTTACGGCTAGAGTAGGAATGGGGATTAACTATAAATGAACACGACAGATCTTACTGGGGTGATGAAAATGTTTTAAAACTGGATTGTGCTGGGGCGCCCGGGTGGCTCAGTTGGTTAAACGTCCGACTTCAGCTCAAGTCATGGTCTCACAGTCTGTGAGTTCGAGCCCCACATCGGGCTCTGTGCTGACAGCTCGGAGCCTGGAGCCTGCTTCCGATTCTGTGTCTCCCTCTCTCTCTGCCCCTCCCCTGCTCATGCTCTGTCTCTCTCTGTCTCAAAAATAAAAAAAATAAAAAAAATTTTTTCTTTTAAACTGGATCATGCTGGGGCACTTGGGTGGCTCAGTCGGTTAAATGTCCAACTTCAACTCAGGTCATGATCTCACGGTTTGGGAGATCAAGACCCGCATCAGGCTCTGCACTGCAGAGCCTGCTGGGGATTCTCTCTCTCCCTCTCTCTCTTTCAAAATAAATATAATTTTTAAAAAATTAAAAATTAAAAAAAAAAACTGGTTTGCGCTGATAGTTGCACAACTTGGTAAATTTACTAGAAAGTGCTGTATAAGAAAACAGGTGAATCTTATAATACGTGAAATACACAATAAAGTTGTTTAAAAAAAATTATTAGCCCTCCAAAAGGAACACATTCAAAGATATTTAGGATTAAAATAGCTAACATTCACTGAGTGCTTATTATGTGCCAGGCGTTACACTAAAAACACTTTCCTCATTTAATCCTCACCTATCATATGAGACAGACACTTCTCCACTGTATAGGTGAGAATGTGAAGCCCAGCCAGACTAAATAACTTGCCTGGATTTTATATTTTATCAGTAATGGAGCCAGAATCAAACCCAGGAAGTCTGAGTCTCAAGGTCCCACTCAGGTACCCCGCTTTATTGCCAGACCTGGTGTCTGACTAGCCATGGAAGTGAAGCAGAAGTCACCAGAACAGCCAGGTTTGTGAGTTGTGTAACTGGGTGATCCCCCTCCTCTATCCGCAAAGACCTCCTTCCAACTTCCACGTCCTTGACTCACCACCATCTAGCTTATAACCCAGTACAGTGGTGCTCTTGTAAAAGTCACCAATGACCAAATAATCTTTTGTGTTTATATTTATACAACTAACTTACACGGCTTCCCTTTAGCTTCTAACACCTGCGGTCACTCTCCTCTTCTGGAAATGTCTCCAGTGGCCTTTCTGACCACCCACCATCCTGACAGCCCTAGGGCTCTGGCCACATCTTATTTGTTTGGCAGGCTTCCCCTTCTCGCCTACCCTTAGATGCCAGAGGTCCACGTACCCTCCCTTGCCTTTATTCACTTCTCACTCTCAAAGCTCTTGTTGGCAATCTCATCCACTCCCTTGATAACTGTGTTGATGAATTAATAAATTCTAAATCCTTCATGTCCCAAAACCTAAACCTATACATTGAACTGCCTAATGGACACCTCCTCTTGGACAGACCACAAGCCCCTCAAACCCAACATCTCCTATATTGAATTCATATTTGCCAAAATCTCTCCATCTTCTTGCTTTCCTAATCTCATTAATGACACCACCTCCATCCAACTTTCTGAAACAGAACAAAGGACTTGTCCTGACTCTTCGTTCTCCCTCGTCCTCTGAGCCATGAGTTCTTCAACCGCTAAATATCTACTTATTGCAACATTCCTTCTCCCGTCCCAATTCCCCTGCCCTAATTCATGGCACCATCAATAACCTTCCTAAAACACAAATCTGATTGTGGTAACTCCCTGCTTCAACTCCTTCATACCTTCTGTTGACAGAAAAGTCCAAATTCTTCTGCACAGCACCCAAGACTTCCTCATCATTTGGTCATGGCCTAACTCTCCAACCTCAATTTCCACAGCCTTTCCCTTAATACTTCATACCTTGTTTCCCCACCTCCATACTGGCTACTTATTTGATGCCATTGCTTTGCCTTTAAAACACATGGCTCTACTTCCTTCTCCCCTGGCCCTGGGGGAGGGAATCACCTTTCAAAATCCAGTTCAAACATCCCACAGCCTTCTCTGACCAAATCAGTTCCCCACTCCATTCCAAGTCTGCTTACCCAAGGGCTACCCTTATTTGTGCCCCCACGATACCTTGCACAAATCTCCAAAGACAAAACAAGTATTTTCCTTTCAACAAAACTGTGTGCTCCTGTATACTATGGAATCATTCACCAAATGTTCCCTGCAAGACATCAGTGAACAAAACAGTTTGTACCTGAGCAGTTACTTGTATCTCAGGACCCAAACCGGAATGCAGGGGGAGACAGTTAAGGGAAAGACTACAGCTCAAAAGCTGGCATCTTTGGAGGAAAATCCCAAGGCTCTTGGAAGAGAAATCGAAGTTAGAAAGGACAATGTCAAGGGACTTTCTATTTGAAGATGTCAGGGCCACTTGCATCTTTTGTAACAACTGACAGCCACAGACGTTGCTGTTGAAACTCATCTGCAAAGCTGAGATACATCTTAGGAAAAAACCCTTTAAGACTGACTGACTATAATCCTGAGTAACATCCAGTTTCTGGTAGCATCAGGATAAGCGGTAACCCCCCAATCTCTAGGCCAGTGCTTTCTCTGTTAAACAATACACCCCTACGATCCTATGTGACAAAATAAATTCACTTCCTCTTAAGGAGGTAAAATGAGCCCAAGTTTTAGAATCTTAAAACTATTTTAACTGATACATAATGTATATAAAGCTCATTCAATATATAATGTAATATGCTACACATTATGTATATTTATAGACTATTTAAATTAGTATGCCATAATATGTTACATATATATCACATATCTTACACTATTATACATCTTTTATGGTATGTTACATATTTAACATAATTTGTGTTTAAAGCCAATCACCTAAGGTTATTTTGACATAAATTATATACACACGTAATTTTATATGTTAATTTATATTTCTATTGCTCAGGCCAGTCAAAGAACTACAACTACACTAAATATATATCCTACACAATCAGAAAGTGAATGTGTTTGCTAAAAACCAAGTGTTAGCTATAAACCTGCACCTGTATTGGGCACAGGCTACCCTTTCTTCTAAATATCACTTCGTCCATTTCTCATCCAAATTCATACATTACCATTACCTATTGCTACTTTCAAAATGAATACGACAGAAAGTTCTTCCAGTGACTAAAGCAGCTTCAAAAGTATTATCCCTTTAGAGTAAAACTAAAGGCTGACCCAAATAGAGGAAAAAGCACGGGCCACCTCCTGGCTATACAATCCTAAGGAAGTCCTCTCCAGGGGCCTCATTTTCCTCATCTGAAACTGAAGAAGGCCTATGCCCAGAGTTTTAGGGA